GGGGCCATTAAAAAGTTATCTGTGAACAGTATTTATCTCAGATGCATTCCATTTATTTTCTATATTTACATTTTTGATGTTTATTTAAAGCAATGATAAAAATGATTTATATTCAAGCACAGTTTATCAATTTGAGCCTTAATGAAAATTCTACTTGCTAACTGTTCTTTATAACTTTTTCTACACAAATACAAGATTATTTGATACATGTTCACAGTAAATTGCTGTTAAATCTTTAATAACATATACATTTATAATGCATGCATTTTTTGTATCCAGAGTTTAATATTGTATTCAATTTTATTATCATGTATATTTTTCCATTATATCAACAGAGGATATATTCATTTTATATCAGCCATCTTTATCATATTAGCCAACTTTTATACTGTGTGTTTTACTATGAATTATTTGGCTTAAATGTCAAAGACCACCACTTTGTCATGATTATTTTTGTGTATAATTTAACAACTACATAAAAAAGTACATTTTTAGCTCTTTTTAAATAACCAGATATAATATATTTAATTGTAGAGCTGTGTATTGTTTTTTAAGTGAATTTAATATTCAACTGGTGTTAAACCATAGTTTTTTTTAAAGTTTTTTTTTTGGTTTTGTTTTTTCAAAATGGGTAAAAGTACAGCTTTAACAGGGATATGGCATTAACATTTTATTCTGATTAAAAACAAAGTTAAACTTAGGTAACATTTGCGTGTAGATCAATTAATGCATGTAGGAAATTATTTATTATCATTTTTTATTGGGTGTATTTATCTTTCATAAATGGCTTTTGATATATTAAATTTCAAATAAAGTAGGCATGCCGGAATGTTTAAATCAGATTTAATAAAAATGACAAAGGAACCCTTATTTTTGCATTTCCTAAATTGTACATTCAACACTGTATTCTATATCAACAAATAATGATTTTGTTTTCAATAGGTTAGTCAGTTGAATTTTATTTGATTTAAAGAAGAGCATGGAGTAAAATACCAGTAAGTTAGGCATTTTCAACAGTTTTGTAAAAATGAAATATTTTAATTGCTATTATTTACTTGTATTTAACAATCATGTATATAATTGTTTAGCTGTAGTATTATTGTTATAGCCTTTCTAATATGTTTTACATGATAAGCATATTTTGCTTGCCTTGAAATTAACATTGAAATGTTTGTTTCTGGTTATGTATGCCAAGTATATTGTGTACTTTGGTTTTCAAAAATCTTAACTACTTTATACTAAACTCCTTACAAATTAGCTTGTTGAATCTATTTAATGGATTTGCCCTGCTTTGAATTGGGAGAGTTCATTCAAATTTAAGGGGTTTCATGATAAAATTGCAAAGCTACCAACAGTATAGAGCAAGTATTCATTATCCAACCAGGACAGTTTTAACTACTGTGTTTCTTTCATTTCTTATTTGAAACTGGTGAAATAGTGTAAATGATTAGCCACATAGTCATATTTTAACTCTTTTTAGCTCGACTATTCGAAGAATATGAGAGCTATTGTAGTCGCGTTGGCGTCAGCGTCCGCGTCTGCGTTGGTTAAAGTTTTTTGTAAAGTCAAATATCTCAATTATTACTTGAGATATTCAATTGAAACTTACAATACTTATTTATAGTAACAAGGTACATCAGATTGACAAGTTGGATAACTCTGCCTACAATATTGACAGAATTATGCCCCTTTTTAACTTAGAAATTTTGGTTAAAGTTTTTTGTAAAGTGAAATTTTGGTTAAAGTTTTTTGTAAAGTCAAATATCTCAATTATTGCTTGAGATATTCAATTGAAACTTACAATACTTATTAATAGTAACAAGGTACATCAGATTGACAAGTTGGATAACTCTGCCTACAATATTGACAGAATTGTGCCCCTTTATAACTTAGAAATTTTGGTTAAAGTTTTTTTGTAAAGTCAAATATCTTAATTATTGCTTGAGATATTCAATTAACAAGGTACATCAGATTGACAAGTTGGATAACTCTGCCTACAATATTGACAGAATTATGCCCCTTTGGAACTTAGAAATTTTGGTTTAAGTTTTTTTGTAAAGTCAAATATCTCAATTATTGCTTGAGATATTCATTTGAAATTTAAAATACTTATTTATAGTAACAATGTACATCAGTTTGCAAAATTGCATAACTCTGTCTGCAATATTTGCAGAATTATTTGCCCCTTTTTAACTTAGAAATTTTGGTTAAAGGTTAAAGGTCTTTAAAGATATTTACTTGATAATTGGAGTGTCATAATTGTATGTCACTGACCAAGTTCCATAACTCTATCTTGCATTAAGGCTGATTCATATCCCCTTTTCTACTTAGTCTCTTAGTTAATGTTTACATGCAAGTTTTACATATCTCAATAACTATTAAAGATATTTATTTAAAACTTCACTTATGCATTTAGGGTCATAATTGTAGGTCACTGACAAAGATCCATAATTCTATCTTGCATTTAGGCTGATTTTTCTCCCCTTTTTCAACTTAGAAATTCATGGTAAAGTTTTGCTTGTAAGCTGTTATCTCAATAACTACTGAAGGGTTTGTGCCTTTTTTGGGACAATTTTATGCATTCATAATAATAAAGCAGTGATTTACTTGATAAAACATCTTAATAACAAGCCTTTGTACCTTTTCTGTCAAATTTATGTATTCATAGGTTACATTAGTATTATTATACTCAATAAAAAACCCTTGTGACATTACCTTCCGAATAGTCAAGCCAATTCTGTATAATTAGACTCTCTCTAAGGCCTATAACATGAATTTATAAAAAAAAATTAGCCCTTTTGTGAACTTAAAAAATTTAACATTATCAAGGATCTTTTACTATCAAGCACTTAGAATAGTCGAGCATGCTGTCCTACCGACAGCTCTTGTTATAATAGAAGTATGTAATCTTTTTGAAAAATCTCACAAGATTTTGTGTTTAGGGCCATAATTTTGAAACCACAATAGTGGTGATAGAAAAAATGCAAGGCAATAGAGTAATACAGAAGAATATTTTTTTAACCTTGCGCGGCATGCCTAAATTGTGTTATGGATTAGCCCTGCTATTAATTTGGAACAGTTTATTCAATGTTTAAGGGGTTTCATGATCAAAATTACAAAACATTAGAAATCAACAGTATAGAGCCTGGTCAGATTGCATGCATGTACATGTTAGGCTGGCCCGTGGCTCTATACTGGTGACAAAGGGTAAGCAGTTTAAATTCCAGCTGGGTAATGGTTTAAAAACTGGGACCAGACACAAACATTTCTATTGTGTAACATACCAAACATTCCAATCAGTCACCTTTCTAAAAGTATGTAATCAGGAATTTTTTAAGTATTTACTATTTATATTTGTTTAGTTTTTGAAAGTATACACGTACATCAGACATTATGAATTGTCTACTGAGCACAACTGTAATAATCCTTGACCTGCTATCTTTCTATAATGGATCTGTCTAGCTTTGAATTTGAAACAGTACATTCAAAGTTACAGGGATTTCAATATCAAAATACAAAAATTGAGCTGCCAACAGTATAGAGCCTGGTCAGACTGCACGGATGCGCAGGCTGGCCTGGCTCTATACTGGTGGCAAAGTCTGATCACTTGGTTCCAGCAGGTTAAGGGTTAAAAATGTGTGGAGAATTATATTATCAGATATTACTCATTCTTAACAGAGTGCTTGTTATTTGCACATTGGCAATAATTAGAACACCTAAAATTAATTATTTATATCATATTACAAAGTTATAAATACTAGATGATTAACCCCATAAATGTATAATTATGATGTAGTATTTATATTAATCAATAAGATTTTTGAAGATAGAGTATTTTATTAAGTTAAATAGTGGCATACAAGTGTAATGAATTTGTTCAACAAACAATGGTTGTGTGCCAACAACATGTTGTTTTAAGATATGTTATAATTATTCTAGTTTCCTATTTTTGTAACGGTTTTCTATGTTAAAATGCCTTACATGTATATTATATGAAACCCACATTGATTACATCAGATCTTGACATTAAAAATTAATTTTTGATAAAAAGGATAGTATGTGTTGTTTTAATAATGTGTTATATCAGAGCCCATTTTTATCCTCAAAAAAAGTGTAACTATGTATAAGAATTTGCTTGAAGTTGTCTTGGCTCTATTATGAGTATTGTGTAAAACTATTTGTTGACATAAGAACAGGACAGTAATTTTGGACCTTATTCTTACAGGTAAAAAAAGTTCAAAAGTTTGCATGATACATGAATATAAACTTATCAGTAGTTTCGTGTAGAAAGGGATTAATATTACTATATTTGCTTAAAATAAGGGGCGTCCTTGGCCGAGTGATTAAGGTTGTTGACTTCAAACCACTTGCCCATCACTGCTGTGGGTTTAAATCTCGAAGGGAACTGCCATCTATCCAGCTAGCTTATGGAACGTTGGTGGTTCTACTCAGGGATTCTGTTCATGCCTGAAATAATGCACGGAAGAGCACCTGAGGTTTTCCTCCACCAGTAATTTTTAGCTGGAAAATATAATCTATACTGTGTTGGTGTGACGTTAATTCCAACCAAAAAAATAATTAAAAGAAAATGCTGTTTGCCTGAAGTTATTATGTAAGTTGCATGAAATCTAGAAAGAGGTTCACTAACACAAACAACTAAATCTCGGCAAACCCTAAATGTTGTCATTTCTAGGAAAAAATTCAAAATTAGTACTTTCTGCAGAATTGCAAATATTACAGACCATGATCAGACAGCACAGATCTGCCAGCTGATTGTGGTTTACACTGGTCACACAGGTTGAATCTCTTGCAGCCAGCAGGCTTAAAGTTAACTTATTGAATCTGAGAAGTTAAAATATGCCTCAATGTTTCAAATACAAAATTATATCTAATGTTCAGGTCAAATCTTGTGAATGCATATATTAATTATTCTGTGGGGTTTTTTTTATACCAAAGTGTGTAACATATTCTACAATCATGTTATTTTTTGTCTTTTTCAGAAACGAGGTCATGAGAACCGAGGTTTAGATGAGCCACATGAGAGTAGACGACACTACCAGAACACTCACGGCAAAGCTAATTACGGAATGGATCGTGAGGCTGATGATTATGATGACTACGATGATGATAGAGACGGATCACCAAACCCTCATAGTATCAATCACATGGGAATTGAGTCGCATGGCGGCATTGGTACAGGGGTGTAACTACTATAATCCGTGTGAATGAAGTATCATTTGAGAATGACGGGAAAAACTTACTTTCAGAAACTATCGCAAAATATAAAATCTGTAACCTTACCACCACATTCATACATTTATGTATCAATTGAGGTTTTTCTCCACAGTATTTCTGTTCAGACTTAGATTAAGTCTATATAACGAAAGTTGCGTTTTTTTCTTGAAACGAGTTCTGTTTCTTCATATTGTTATAGTGAAAGGAAAGATCTAAATATAGAAGTGTAAATTGAAGCGTGATGATGGTAAAAGCCTGAGGGAATATGACATTGCTGAGGGGCATTGCAATCTTCATGTAATGTTAGAGGTATGCCGGAATACATTCCAGAAAATGTGTAGTTTAGATTACTTTTATACGTTACATATCAAAAAACATTTTACATATCCTTCTATACAGGTAATTATGAATATTAGTTGTGTGGTGATTTTAAGATTTTTTGTTAGTGATTAGCCATTTTACTTTTTATTTTCACTAGTTATGAAGAACTTATTTTTTGTATGTTTCAAATGTTGTGTTTATGTTAATTTTTAACAAATTCATTTAATACTTTAACCTACAAGGTGAATCTATTACTCTTTATATTCTCATAGAAATCTACCATTCAGCGAATTGTGGAATTGTACGCCTAAGGTCATCTCCTGATTTTGACAATTATGTAAAATTTGACGGGTTATTATCATATCTTTACTTGAAAGCTTCCAGCCTAACCAGGAATTATTTAGTATAGTTAGGTGAACTTTACTCATTAATACAAGAAAACAACTTTGAAATTTAGTTTGTCTTCAAATAAAAGCTTTTACATTGAGGAGAAGTTGTTTCAATGTTGCAATACCCTTACAAGTTATGATGTTATGTTTGATGCAAGCTATATAGTGAAAATGAAATTGTTAAGTATTGATAACATTTCAAAAACCCTGTGGTCATATAATATTGTATTTAAGTTATGTCAAGGTAAATGCTAGACCTAATCATAATATAGTTATAATTTTGACAAGGAGACTCTACAAATATTGTCCTTGTTTTTACACAGTGCCATGTTTAGTCATTTCTCCTGAAACTTTCGTTCATACCAGGTCAGTCTGCTGCAAGCTGGTCATAATTCCTTTTATGTTCATTTACATGTGTGTTCATTTGACAGAATAAATTTGCTTGACCTGACAAAGTTATCTTTCTGTTGATATTTTTACAAATATCCCATAATGCTTTGCAATCTATTCTTGTAAGATTTTTTGGTTTTTCATTGGCAAGAATGTGACATTTTTTCAAAGGTCAAGGTTGATATAATTCAAGGTCATTGTATAATGTTTGTAAAATAGGTCATCATTTTCAATATTAAATAATATTTAAGGACATGAATGGTGACATGTCCGGGGTCCATACTCTTAGTGACTGAAAGAGCAGATGGACCCTCATTAAGCATTGACTACCTACCTACGACCCATCATAAGACAGTATATGGTGTTGAAAGAGAATGCTTATATAGTTTCTTCAAGGTCAAGGATGCTTGCCTTTGACGTGAAAGGTTACAGGAACATGTTTGTTTTAGTGCACATAGGAAGGTTAATATAGAAATCCATAACTTTTTATTGAGATGCAGAGAAAATTGTGGTAAATTGAAAGCACTAATGTAGTTTCTTTCTTTCATAATATTCAAGGTACTGCAAAAAATAATAAATGTGTTCCCATTGCAAGTTAGATATTTCATTACTTGTAATTTCAGGAAAGATTGGGAGTTGATGTTCATTGATGTGACATGGGAAGTTATACATATTTTTATTCGGGTTAATTACATATATTAAGATAAGATTACTGGAGTAGTGTCCCTTTCTCCAGCCAGTATTTCAGTGTTCTCCATAACTAACACCATTAACATTGTGCAAACCACTGTCTCTATTTAACCTGCTTCATTGTAGCATAGCTTTTCATTTTAATTGCTCATGATTTTGTATATAACTGAACATTCGCATCAAATGGCTTTTTAATTTTTATTTTGTACACATATCTTTTTTACATTATCGTATGTTTTTATATGTAAACTTTCAACGTGACAAAGGGATGGCTTAGGTGTGCATACTGTATTCATACTTGCTGTAAGAGTGCCTTAAATCTATATCTTCTTGTAAAACTTAAATGACCTAAATTTTGTAGCCTAAATATAACCATGCAGTTCCTATAACCATATCTGACATAATGGTTATATGGTTAAATGCTTGTAGTCTTGAAGAAAGTTCATCTCAGATTTAAACTTCAATCAGCATTAAAGATTTTGTATAAAATCTGTATAAAGCATAAATAGCTTTCAGCATAAAAAAGTTAAATTATCAAATTCTTGCATATTAATGTCTTAATTTTTTTATTATCACAATCACAAAATGTTTAGAGTTAATCGATGGGCTATAATTTTGTTTTATTATTTTTAATTTAGAGAAGGTTTAAGTCTGTTATGCAGGCAGTAATAAAACTGTGTCCTTGTAGCTACTGAGTAACCTCCCTTTGTCTTGAAAGTTGTTATCATAATGTATGTTTTATTATTTTAAATGTTTAATAGTTACTTTTATATTTTTATGGTTGTGCTAATTGTGATAAAATTTGATTGCTTGATTGATTGATAAATTTTGTTGATTGATTGATCAAGAAATATTGTTTGATTTGACACAAATTTGTATTGATAATGTGCTCAAAACTATTTCTCTTCTCCTCTTTCTTTTCCACATTCTTTTATAATATTTCACACAAAATCAAATCATATAAATCAATCAAGTGTTCAGTCACTTGATTTTGGACAGTCGAGAACAAGGTCAATTTTTACTGGTACATTAAAAATTCAATTTGACAAAAATAAAGCATATTTATCATTATACTGTTGGCTGGTTCTAGATGCTTGATTTTTATTGCCATTTTAGAAAAAATGCTTAGTAAAATTGTGTCGTAAATGACCAGGTATGCATTTCATTAAAATTAAGTCAAATGAAATTGAAAGACTGGGTTATAAAAATCAAAATCGGGTACATAGAATTTATACTATGCAATTTCAACAAATTTTACGCTCATCTAAGCCTAGCTTGCAAAACTGATTTAAGTCAGTGTCTAAGCATATTTGCTCTGTCTAACTTTAATACATAGTGGTATAATTTGAAGTTTACTTTAAAGCAAGATGTGCACACCAATAAAACAGGCCTTAATATTTTGTTCAAATACACTCAGTGCAAATAGTAAATAATTGTCATAGCAAATAGATAATTTGCTTATCAGTGTTTATGAAATACTAAAGTTATGTAATATATGATCAGTTTATTTAGTTACAATTGCATTGTTTCTTTGGCAATATTTACCTAGTTGTTATATGGTTTGTTGACAAAGGAGATAAACACATTTGATTTACCACCTAATCAAGTGTTCTAAACATCATAGCAAATTTGTAAAGGTTTAAACCATGCTTTATTGCTGTTTAGAGTAAATAAATCATGTAACAGTCGTATGAAGGTCAGAAAATGATTTCTAAGTTTCAATTTGATTACCTATGTGATGCATTTTAAAAGGTCTTAAGTCTGTGTTGGAAGTTGTTTTTTGAAACCAATATTTAAAAAAAAAACTCCAGAAATAATTTAAACATAACCATGCATAACGTTTTTGCATTTTATAATAATGAAATCAAATGAAATTGAAAGATTGGGTTATAAAAATAAAAAAATAAGGTTGATCAGTCTTTTACTAGTAATTCTAAAAATAGATAAAATTTGGATGACCTCTCATTTTTAGAACTTGATTCTTACATTACAAACTTGAATAAAAATTTTTATTCTTACATTAGATAATGTACTAATCAAATTGGGCTTCCTTTTATAACCGTGGTCTGCTTTTTGGCCAGGTTGTTGAAATTCTCTCTCTTTTTCCTACAAGCTCATTTAGAAATCCATAGATGGTAAGTTTTGGAAAATATAAGTGCTAATTCAGGGAAAAATACGATGTTTACTGCCAGGCAGTTTTCCCCTTCAATTACGAAATAATGTGTTTCATTTACAATTTGTTTGATTTTGTATTAAATATTTTAATTAAGAGTATTTCAAAAGGGAATAGACAGAGACTTCATGTTCTATTACCATATTACTGCAGTTAAGCATTGTGAAAATCAGCATGAACTGAATCGGATACATTTCTCAGAAAAAAACCTTCCAAATTCTGTAAATGTTCCTAAAATGTGGCATGAGTGATTGAATCATTGTAAAGAATGGTTTTGTTTGGTGAAAATTTGTAAAGTAGGAGCTTATATTAAGCAAGAAATTAATGAACTTAACCAAAAATTAATTTATAAATCATGAAATTTAATGTTGTGATCATTATTTTTTCATTTACCATACATATTGGTCATCATTAAGAAAATTGTTCAAGAATGTAACACTAAATGACCTACTTAACAAGTCACTTTTGTCTGTGCATAATGAAATTTAGAATGTTTTTTCTTAAGACTAAAAAGTATTTAATCAGAGCTTAATTTAAATATTAATATGTAGATAGTATTCTTTAATTTTTGCTTGATTCTTAACGCTTATTTGCAGTTGTTACTTCATGTATATATGTGTATATCACATACAAGATGCAAAGGTGAACTAATTGGGTACTATGATACCCTTAATGTATGATTTTTCATACATATTATTTATTTCTGAAATTAACAAATTGTGGAGTAGCCTTTTACAACATAAACTGTGTAGAGGTGTTTGAATGTCATGAAATTTATGAAGAAGAAAGAAAATCGTTAATTGTTAACTTGGATACATTACTCATTATAGGTACATGTATTTCAAAACTTTACACAGATATAATAGGTTATCTTTAATTGGCTTTTCTTTAGTAAATTGGCAATTCATGATCTTAATTGTGAAAACACCAATTTGCTTATTGTATTATGTAAAACAAAATGTGTCATATGTTAAAATTCATTCCATATAATCTGGTCATTAAAGGTTGTTTAAGGAATACACCTCTAATATTTATTTATCACTGTTAATGAAAAATATTTATATTTTAATATCGGAGTAATAAAATGAACCTTAAAAAATAGAAGAAAGGTTCTAGAATTATTATATTATAGTTTAAAGAAATTAACCTGGTTAAAGATGTGGTTATTATAAGTAAAACAGTGTTTGCCATACACATCTCCCTCCCTTGTACATAGTGTTGACCATTTCTATTTCAAATCATATTTGTATATTTTGTAAATCTTCTATGTACATAGATCTTTTAGTGATTTTATATATGTATATATATCCAATTTGTATATCACCGTATACATCTATATAACATATCATCTGTGTTGTGAATATATTAGTAAATACATATACATGTATTTGTATGAAATGAGTTCATTTATAAAATCCCTAATATCACTAACCAAAAAAAACAACACGTTTATGGTTTATTAAAGGATTCAATGCCATACACCACCAGATGAGATGAGCCAAAAAAAAATTAAGAAAATCAACCTTGAAAATATGTACTTAGATTTTAAAAGAAGTAAAAGTATTCACAATTCAAGAAATAATTTACATACTACATGTGTATATACAATTGATAACTGATTTTGCAGCATTTATCACTATAACCATGACTATCGAGTAAGTGCTATTTTTTGCATATTCTGACCTATTTTTGGTAATTTTTTCACAGAGTACAATTTGTAAATTACTTTCTTTGTTCACTTGACAAGATTTTACGTTTTAAAACCTAAAAATATTGATAAAAAATAGCATGAATCTGGAGGCATGCTGCTTTAAAGTCTGTTATACTTTCTAACTTTTCAACAAAACTGTATACTTTAAAAACTTTTTTCTAATAATAAGTAGTGCTTTATATACCATGGTAGAAAGTTATTGGTCAGTAAAATGCTTCTTTATTAGTAGAAAATTATGTAACACAATTTGTATACTTTTTAAATGATATTTACAGTTTAATCTCAGGACTAACTATTCTAGACTTAAGGAACTCTTAACTTTAAACAAGTCTTTAAATTAATTGCATTATTGTACAAATTTGAATAAGAAAATAGAAAAAAAGAATGTACTTTTTTTCTAAAAAAAATAGAGAGAAATAGAATTCCTTTAGAAAGCCCAAAACAGCAAAATTGAAAATGTTGCAGGCTCAGTTTGATTGAGCCTGTTTAGTCAGTACTGGAAAGTGCGTGCTACATTCAACGCCCCCATGCACTGGCTTAAGCAGTATTCAACAATTTAGCATCTAAGACCTGTTTTCAATACCCTCTTTCTGACATGTACACACGTATCATCTCACGATAAGAAATGTTTAAGTATATTTTTTTTACAAATATCGTAAGTCATTGCTGAGAGTGTCACCTTGACTTGATATCATTATCAAATCATACTTTCTTTAAATGATAATTTCATGTAAAATTATACATGTATTACAAATTTCATGTAAAATTGTATTGTATATACAAATCTAATTGATCAAATCAAGAATGAATGTGATTGTATGCAAAAATGAAATAAATTTATTTTAGCACAAGTTTTTTGGTGTTTTGATTCTTGCTGTTGCTTATATATTTTATCCCCCCCCCCCCCTTTGAAAAAAAGCCACGAAGATATGAAAATAATGTGTATGTCTCTCATTCATCCCTACATTTTTGTCAGGACATGACTCAAAACGTATTTGAGATATTGACCTGAAACTTTTTATGTAGATAGATCTTATTAAAAGGAGAAAAGCAGTGCACTTTGCCCTTAATAGTTTTTATACGCTAAAAAATAGGCGTATATTGTTATGCACCAGGTTGTCTACAATTTCGTATCCGGTCTGTATCTTTTGAACCGGTGGAATGAACATGAAACTACTTGGCAGAAATGATAACTATAATGAGATGATGTGCAGAACACAGGTTTGATATTTCCCAGGTAAAGGTGACAACCATTCTGTATGAATTTCATGTCCGCTCCCTATAGAAAGAAATTAAATCTTTTGACAAAAAATTAACTTATGAGACCATGTGATTAACACAGGTTTGGGCTTCTTGAGATCAAAATTGGTCAGACCCTGAAGATTATTAGATTAATATAGACATAGGGAAAACATTTTAGTTGTATTGTGTGAAGAGCTTAGATATTTAGCATGTGGCATTGCAATGTTATATTAATCATGACCCTTTTGTCAAAAAATTGCCCTGCCCCGGGAGTCACTCGCCTGATGTGGACTAAAGTATAGGAAAACATATCTTTTTGTGGATAACTACTACGCCTCTATATTTGGCATAAAGCATTTAAGCTATTGCCCTTTGTTTCTCTTCCTGCATATTTTCTGTCCGGACAATAACTGTTTTTCGAGGACGGACCACAGTAAGAAGTACTTTTAGGCAGTGATATTGGAGTTATGATCCTTTTTTTATTTTTTGTGCTTATTATATATCAAAATATTTAGAAAGTTACTGGGTGAATAGCATTCATTTACCAACTTTACATTAACGGATAACGACAGTAAGCCACTTTGAATTCACCGACCTCGTCTTCTGTGGGCAGGCTATCAAGCAGTTTTACCAGTACTAGTTTTCTTCACTTTCACAAGGAACTGATAATTTCTGTACATGTCAGAGCAGTGGTACTGTGCAATTGACTGTAGAAAGGACTTCATGATCAATTACAACAAAAGTTTCCTGCACTGCCAAGGGATTCAACCCGGGTCGTTCTATTCAAAGTCCAACGGCAAACTGTACGGTGGAATTGGCTTCTTGTTCTTTTTTTGTCTCCTGTGTGTCCAAATTCGTTACATACGTAATTAAGTTACCTAGAAAGAACAGAAATTTGTTGGAATTAACTTTTAGTTTGGTTTAAAGCCACACATACACTTGATTGTTCATATAACGACCTTTTAGCTTTACTGGTAGAGGAAGACATTAAATGCCCATCTGGTCACGAGAAGGTATTCGGGTAGAACCATGAAACTTTTGTAAGCTGTACAGCTCTATTCCATATAGAAATGAACTTCCTTTTCAAGAGACAAACCTGCAGCAGTAACACCTACGCAACTTGGTAAGTAACGACTTTAATCATTCGGACATAAAGACCCGTGCAAAACGAACTGGAATTAGACTTACTCAGATTTGACGAATTATTCTTTTCTTTTTTTTCTTTTTTTTTGGGGGGGGGGATTTTTGTATGTTTTTCGTCTTCTTCTTCTTATTTTTCTTCTTCTTCTTCGTCTTCTTTTTCTACTTCTTCTTCTTCTTCTTCTTCTTCTTTTGCATGTTTGTTATACAAGAAATACGCGCAACAAATTTTGTTTTTTGAAAGAAAAGAAATATAAACTAAAGAAAGATTTTAAACAACGAAAGGTAACTCTTGCGGTATTATAGTGAGATAATATAATAGTTACTTTTCCCAATCGGTGTCTGTTATCATACATAATTATTGTGATCATATGTAACGACAGTTATATCCAATTTACTAATGTTTTTTATATTGTTTAAAGTCAATATTTCTTGAGATTTACATCACCTGATGATGTATTTAAAAAGTTTTACAATGTTTGTTTTGATCAATTCAATTATGCTAATAACCTGGGACAATTCTTTTGTCCAAGTAATAACTAAATAACACTAAGAATAATGTGTTTGCATGAATATATAGAATATATCTATTTATGTCCATTATAAAATGTAAATATTACAGTTTTGTTCTGGGAGTATATTCATTTTGGTGTTTCTATATATGATCGTTTAAATAGATTATAATCTAAATCGAACACTGCATTATACATGACTAGAAATACATCATCTAGTATCATATTATAGCTTCTATTGTAACAGCCTAACGTTCGGTGGAATTTAATCCATCAGATATCATACATGAACTGAGCTATCTTGTCAGTGTTCAATCTGATTTACACTCTATTATTCCGTATTAATGAAAGTACAGTTATATTTCACCAAAAAATGTTGACTTTCTGACAACATTATTATTATAATCACATTGGTCATGAAACCTCCCGTTGCCTTCTATCAGTAGGAAATGAAAAAAATGAAAATATCTTTCAAATTACAGGCCCTCGTTAAGCCTTTAGACGTCGCCACGCACGCGCACCTGTCATGCATGCTTTACTATAATTATGAACGCTAACACGATGACAGACGACTTTAGTTAGAATCCCTTGGCGCGCGATATTAAATGACTTCTGCCAAAACCACAAATTATTGTGACTTTTTTCATTACCATGTAAAAATCAATAATCTTTCACTGTTTTTCTATCTTTTTGACAAATTCTTTAAATCTGCGAATTGTACTGTAACAATTTGTTTCTCACCTGGTAACTAATAAGCAATATATTATGAAAAGGCCATATGGTGCGAATTTGTCGTCTGCGACACCCGGTTTAATTCGCAACATCAGTCTAAATCAATCTAATTACAGACGAGAAATGATGACTGCCCATGATTATTATAATCAGTGAATTCACTCGACTATTTTGTGATTACTAGAGAATGCTGCTTGTAAGAAGTTGTAATAATTTTTTCTATCCTCGTATTTATCGTCTGTAATTTTCTCTTTCGTAATTATTACCGGAAATTGCGCCTGTTCTTCGAGATATTGTACAAGTCATAAAATATTGTAATAAACCCGATTAATCACTTAACATTAGTAACTTCTTCATAGATTAAGCCTCCTGAGTTTATCTTACGTGTAATATTTGGTACATGTATATACATGTATATATGAAATATCATCATCATTTATATGATTATCGTCAATGTAATCATCTCGATCAGTACCGTCATCATCAACATCATCATCAACATCATCAATATAATCATCATCATCATCATCACCATCATCATCATCATCATCATCATCTCATCATCATCGTCGTCGTCGTCGTCATCGTCTATGTAACAAACAACATTTTCTAAGCAAGCTATATATTAGTTTAAACATACATGTACGAGTTATATGAGCTCGATTGTGAACACATGTTGAAGTTTATTCCGACCGCGTTTGAGCCCTGGACTAACTTGTGTCATTTAAGAAAACATGGTCGTTTACCAGGTAACGCTCGAACACATGATATATTAGCTGAGATTAAGATACCTTAACCACCTCTAACTTACTACAAACACATTGATTTCATGCCTGAACGGTCATTCTTAATATTACATTTTCAATATTCGAGCTCTTTATTTTTATTTTTTTTTTTTATTTATCAAGACCCATTCATACCCAGCCAATTTCTGTACTGTATTTCAGACAATGTCTTCAATCATACGGCGTGGTCTTAAATAAGAGATTTTGTGAATGCAGATTCAGGTTTATGTTATTTGTTTTGTTCCTCCTTTCAACATTATCTAACATGTTCATTCTGTTGAGAAATTTCGCTAATTTGTTTTCACCGCCTTTTTGGTTACTTTTGTGTTTAGCGCACTTACATTATCGGGTGACGAATCTAGAGGGAAACAACTTTAGCGCCGAGTACCAATAATTCAACTAGAGTCAGCGAGTGTTTTTTCGTTAGTACATAGTGACTTAGTGAATAGGCTTACTGCTATTCCACGGATAGTAATAATAATTATAATATTGGAATGCCAATTACATACTTTGAAGTTTAATTATCAAAGTAACAATATAAACTAGAGAGTATATTTTATTTACCAATACATACACATTGAAATATTTGTTCAGTGTCAAAGTTTAAGAAAGTTACTTTGCAATCTACAGAAATACGAAATAGTGGGGAAAATGGAATTACAAAATTGGAGTATTTCGATGCTTGTATTGTGTTTTGTATATAAGGCATTAGGTATGTATATATAATTCATTATTATTATTTTCTATTCATCTTGTTTTATACATTGATTCATAGAACGCTAGTATTTGAAATCACGCATAGATGGAATACATTATAAATTAGTTTAATGACAAATACGTTTGAATTTTGGTTATTAAACATTTGAGATACCATTGATACTTTAAACGGGCTTCTAATGTAATATTCTTAAAGAGGAGTTTAAAAAATAATGTTAAGTCTGAAACCACACTATAGTGAAAATATTATTTGTTTTAAACAGATTGTTAAGCATGCATCGCGCGTTTTATTTTTGGAGGAAATCCATCGTATGGGTTTTTTTTCCTTCAAAAGTTTTTGAAATCTTTTGTATCGCTACAATACGGTTAAATGGTTTTCTATTTTACTTCTTCCCTAGTTTGTGAAGACACGTTGACAAGTATTGTTATGTATATCTTAAATGACAATTGTTTAATCTTGAAATTTGCTCTTTAGTTAAACTTTGTTTAAATTCAAAACTTGCAGGAAGATATCATATCAGTTGAAGGATTAGTTGTTTAAGATAACAGATTTTAAAAAATTGACTTATTCTAGCATGATAAAAGTACAAGTTACGATCTATAATAATTGTTATGGTATCTTACTAAAGATGTTAAACATTTATTATTAAACTATGAGTAATATATAAATTCATTTTATGGTTTTTAAAGAGTGCTTTTATCAAAGTGTAAACATATTTAGGAAATGAGAAAGGTTGATATCACATTCCTGGGAGATGTATTTGCTTGTTATCTAACCCGGTTAGTTGAAGGTGTGAATCTATGTGTGTGAGTTATTGGGCGATATATGTGTGTGAGTTAGTGCCCGTCTACACCTATCCAAGTCTTGAATGCAAGTATCATATTCTCTTGTATTGGATAGTGTAGACACCCTACTTGAATGAGTTTTAAAGAGAAATTATGTGACATTCAAGAAGATAATTCCTTGCAAGAATGGGGAGTTATGGGTTTGCACATATGTTCACTTAAATAAAAACAAAATGACAAAGAATGTTGTATTGTAGATCTATTGTGCCACACATAACAAAAACACAGAAGTGTTTTTACGTTATATAAGCGTTGCCTTGCTTCAAAGCAAAAAATGCTCCTATTGACCCCTGTTTATTGACATTTGAACTGTTTCTTTTTGTTCTTGTTTTTCTTATCGACTGATTAAAGACACTCGGGGTAAAGACTTATTGTCTATCCAGCACAATGAGTGACTTCATTCATGATTCAACAAAAAACATGAAAACTATTCTCTTTTTACGTTTTTATGATAATTCAAACAGTTTTATGTGCTCATATTATCCCTAAGGTCTCAGAAAATGATATCAAAAAGTTATGAAACGGTATTTGATAGTCTTTGACCATACTATTTGGTATATGAAGTTAACAGCCCGGCTGACGTTTAACGCGTTCCAATAAGATGTACATGAAAGACCTATTTTTCAAAAGTTATGCGGGTTAATTTCAGCGTGAATATAAAAATGTCATAAATGGACGCTAGTAAACTTCTGGTTAACATAGTTTTACAGCTTTCACTAACCATTAGAGTCAATTAGGACCATTAGCTTTTGGGTTATACCATGTTACTGTTGAATGGTAAATTATTGGACGAATTCTTATTATGTATGTATCGTTGTCGAAGTGTCGTTATATTTTTGCGAAATTTTTCCAATAAAACAATAACTTGTCCACCAGGACCGGGTTGTTCAAAACATTGGTTAAAATTAACCATTGGATAGCCTATCCACTGGTTAAATCCTTAACCAGTGGTCAGCTATCCAGTAGATAAAAATTCATTGTTCGACAATTGGATAGTACCCTGGCTACCTAACCAGTGGATAGCGTATTTATCCACTGGTTAAGTACCACAATGCAACAGGGTTGGTTAGTGATTCTGGAAACAAAATGGCCGATTTTTTTGATGAATAATAAATTTATTAGAATCAAAAAGCTCCCAAAGACTTAATTTTGAATGTTTTGTGCTTTCATGTTTTTGGAATAAAGCAAAAGTATATCAAAGGCCTAAAAGTATCGATAGATCTATTTTTCCCTTAGACACACATAGGTAAAAAATTCAAAAATAATTTTTTTTCCAAATTTTGAATTGAAATTACTTCCATTAGATGGGTAATGTTCTAACTAAGAAAATGAGTACTGACACTTGTATGTTTTATTAAAAAATAAGAAAGTTATGACTGTTTAACTGAATTTTCTGAACTACAACAACAACAAATTCAGGTTGAAAAAAGGGTTCTAAAAGCACTTTTTCAGAAATGTTTCAATTTAATCATATGCATTTCATATGAAATGTTCTAGTTAAGACAAAATAAACATATATTTGTAAGAAAAATCTGGTTTCAAACAAGTTTTTATGGTTTAGACTGTTTTAATGATGATGGCTAACCACTGGTTAAGGGCTTTATCCGGTGGTCCTCGGACTGGTTAAAGTTAACCACTGGATAACGCATTTTATCCGTTGGATAAGTTTTGAGCAACAGAACTTATCCAACGGACAAAATTTAACCAGAGGATAATGAATTTAACCACTGGTTAACACTAACCAATGATTTGAACAACCGGATCCAGGTGGCTATGTGTTTATTCGATCGATCATTTATCGATTTATTAGTTTTCTTTAATAAAGTTACAAATTATACATCTGTGCTCATCGGCCATTTTCTTTAGATTTAATCAGCTCATCTGTTTGTTTAGCCTTCCATTCGTTCATTTATCGTCCCTTCTTTCATTTTTCATTCATTCTGTTGTTAGAAGTTTATTTGGCAGAATTCCAATTTGTTTCATCACCCAGTCATTATAATTCTGGGGGCAAATATAATTTTGCTGGAATATTATATGCATACATTCATTTCACAGTTTTTTCCTTTTCTAACTATACATTCTTTATGTGATTTCCTCTTTGGTTTTTTTTTTAAATTGTAATTTGGCATTAACAAATACAATGTAACCTGTGCAAAGCAACACCCTTTAGGACCGAATAGTTTAGTTACCGAGTTGTTCAGGGGTGTTGCTGTAGATATTTTAAGGTAATTTGAAATTTTATTTTTGGAAGAAATAATACCTTTATTGAGAAAAGAATACTGCTCTGCTGACGGTCGCTCTGTAGAGATTGCACTGTAAAAGAGGTCTTAAAAAGTCAAATCTCTAGGTTAAATGATGCACTTTATAATGTAGTAGCCCTATTCATTAACCCCGCTATTCATTGATTTCGCGCTACCAGATTTTTTTACAAGTACATGACTGAAATGATGAAATTTGATGAGTCCACGCTAGTTATCTACAGGCATATCTCCTCTAACCGATACAAAAGTTCTACCGGGGCAAATTTTGTCTGCAATATGTGCCCTTTTGTCTCGCAATGTTTAACAACAGATAGGAAATTACAACGGACAATACAGATTTCAAAAATCAGATAAGGCGAAAAATCGTTTTGACACAAACAGATTAAAACCAAATATTTAAACAATAGATTCCTACACTAGCTATAGTAGTGAAAATATAAACATCATCAAAAGCGCGCTGTCTCAAGTTACAACTATGACACGGGTAGAAATAAAGCCCTTAGTTTGCTTATCATTTCGCACTAAATTTTTATGAAAAGAGAACAATATTTGATGATATTGAAATCATCGTAAAAATATCAAATACCGACATTTTCTGTTTTCATGCTGTTTTAGCAAACATTGTTGTAAGTTTATAAAGTTCGTGAATTCACTGCCAGAATAAAACTTCTAATTAATAATTGATGAGCCTTGATGTATTTTAATATTATTGGCCCATATGTACGACATTTTAATATACATTCGTGTGCAATTCGCGTTTTCATAGATAAAAGCGGTTTATTACAAAGTCATGCTAAGTGAATTTTAAGATATAAATAATATCGTATTAAAATGGATACTTCAGACTGTTGTTACCTAGACAATATTACATACTGCTGTAGTCATTGATGATGAAATTCTCGTCTGCATGTGTTAGGATGAAAGAGACACCTTTCTTTTTCTTTCTTCAGCGTTACACCCGTTACATCAACCAATGTGATTATCTTACACAATTTTCGGTATTTTTTATATACATGTATGTCTCAGGGAACGGAGGATGTCCTTGAACAGAATGAAAATGTCCCTATGTAAGTCTGTCCAATATAGAGTCATGAAGGAATCTGCATGTGTATTACAATAGAAACACATTTATTACAAATGGTCATAGTCATTTTAGACATGTCCCAAATACATCATTTAGTGGTTCTTTAGTTGTCATAACGTACATTTATGATGTATAAATGGTCAATTATGCCCAAAATATGATTTTATTTTTATTTCTTAGTTTCAAAATTTTTATTTTTGATGCTAAAAAGTTACTCACTGCCAAATTTCCCGAGGTAATGTTTAAGCATTAAAAACTTGTGAAAACCATACATCACTACATCATCTCTAGGTATTAACAATACCATCACTACCGGGTATACAACATACAAACTATCTGAAACTTTTACAGAGAAAAACAACAACGTAGAACACGTGTTTTAAATCTTTTATCAAATTTGATAAATGATTATCAACGGAATCAAATTCTTTCTTGAAGGTTACCTTTTTGCCGACGAATGAAAAATTTCATACGGCATACGTCCGTCCTGTTAGCATACGTTAATTGGTACGAAAATCGGCTGACGAGCGTGAAATGTTTTGGTTTGGTAGTTGGAAGATGACATGTGGCACTGGCTAACTGATTGTACAGATAGCACGTGATCCTTTCACACATTTCTGCCATTTATCATTGTTCTAGAATGACTAGCTACACGAACGGTTCCACGTGTTTCTACTCTTTTCATCTTGCTATCTACTCATTCTATAAGTGTTAGAAACGCTTTGTAGATCAAGCGTTCAAAAGACATAGACATCATTGTACCGTTACTATACTTGTTAAAGGGACTCCACTAAAAATAATTGT